ACTTTGATTATCATCTATAAACGTTCTCTAACAGACTATTTTTATTCATATTCAGCCATAAATTCAATAAGTTTTCAGTTTCCAAATAAGTTAAATCCCGTTTTTTGTAAATTAACCAATCGATCATCTCTTTAACATTGATCTTTCTGTCACACGGTAAATAGAATGAAACACTTGACACATGTAATAATTTTTGTATAGCTATTTTCATATCGTCGAACTCTCTGATTTTTAAAGTCAAATGTTGAACATGATGTGGAATTATCGAACAAATGTTTTCTATTGTTGTATTATATTGTCCATCCGTGCCCAGAGGCCATAATTCTAGTGACCGAATATTACATGTACGATAGAGTAAAGCGACTATGTTGGCTATTATATTCGATACTGTGCATGGATTAAAATCGACCTGAAGAATTAAAATATTAAGATGAGAAACATCAAGCAGCGTTGATAGACAATCAAGCGACCATTCGCCATCAATGCGAAGTTTTAGTTCTGTCACTTTGCGAAACAACGCAGGCTTTTTTCTGGCACTCTAAAAAGAAGCAACCCTTTGTCTTTCTAAAATTCTAATTATATATTTTGGCTGCGAAAGGAGGTTGGAAAATTGTTGCGTAGCTGATAGCATTACAATAAGATTATCATACCTAAGAAATCGTGTGTTTCATTAAAAACGATAAAGAACTAGATTCAGGCTTACGATTAGTTCTTACGAAAAGTTTCAGTATGGATTATTCAATAATCTTAGAAAATCTTTCAATGAAAAATTTGATAAAAAATGACTGTGTATGAGCGAAATTGTGGAAGTTTTGTATCGACTGATAGCTTTATTTTGCCAAGAACATACTAATTTTTCATTTTGATTTGATAAGTCTTCGAATGGTCCTTATTTTGATAAGAGTAATTCTAGCTTCATTGAAATCTATGCGTGTTTCACAAAAATTGATGTCTGTCTTCTAATTTCGTAAATTTTGTGTATTCAGGGTTGTCGCAAGTACTAGAGACAATCCACTAGCAAAAAAATGAAAGCTTCCAAGATTAGGCAGTAAGCTTTCGCTCACGCCTGCCTGTCTGTGTCGTTTATCAATTGGAAGTACAGATCATGTGCAAAATACTATCAAAATTAGCAAGATTGAAATGTATGAGTCATATCTTCTTCAACTATTTATTTGATCATTTGCATTATTCTCCTGCCATAAAAGTCATTTTATAAATGACAAAAGGATTCCTTTGAGAATTTCATCAAAGTACATTTTTTTCTATGTATTAGATATTATTGGTTTTGACCATGCGAATATAAAGTTTCCTCAAAAAAAAAAACATTTGTGAAAACGAAACTTTCATTGGTATTCTCTTCCAAAAATATCATATGAGTTTGTTGGCAAGTTGAAGAATAAGCCTTCTAAAAAATGAATAAATTCTCATACAAGTGAGAACATTGAGCACGAAAATGATATAATGTATACCAAAAATAAAATAAATGTTCAGAGGACGAAAATAACGAATATATGTATATCGCAATAAATTTTCCATAATATCAGAGTTTCAAAAACTAAGACTAATATTCAATAGAGATTGATTAACGTCAACGGATGCTTCGTCACTATTTTGATGCCTTATTCCAACAGAAAAAATGAAACAATTGAGTAAAACATTGAAAGACAAATGAACATCTTTTGCTCACATACGTCCGCAACAATGGTCGGCTCCCCAATAATCATCAATTTTATCTCGCCCGATTCTGTCGTAGAGATGAGTGGATTAGTAATTTTTTTCCAAAAGTTCTAATTTCAGTCAGTGGTTCTGTAAGATTATGGTTAGCTTTTGAGAAAACCTCGGAAACACTAAAAATATCAATTTCACAAAACTCATGAAGTTACTATTCCACTGCACATGAGAAAAAATCGAGTTTTTTCTGTAAACATGATTTTTTATAT